CAAGCCACCGCCGCATCAATTACGACCCCAGCGGCGATTGTGAGAACTGTTAATTGCAGTGCGCATACGGTCCCACGGCAGCCACGTGCTATAAATACTGCACTCCTGGTGCCACCTTCATCTCTATCTGCGAATGTCTCTGATGATGGGTTCGAGTGAGAACCCGAAACGTCAGGCCAATAAACTTCTTGTCCCAGTGATCGCATCTTCATCTTCTGAACTGCTACGTGGGACTCGCCTGTTCGCTTCTATCAGTAAACTTCCTACCCGTATTAGGCCTGCGCCAGTGTGCAATCTTCATTTCGTTGTTGTCGATCATACTGTCAGAACAGGTGATTGCAGTGAATTTATCAGGCAAATTCTTAGCCACTACGAAGGGAGGAACCGTTTCATAAATGCCCATGGGAGTGCAAGGAGACTGCAAAAGATTTTGAAAATAAGACAGTTATGCAACCCACAAGCCTCATGGATAAGAGAGAATAATCGAGTAGACAGCCTTACCTACAGACACGACGCCCGATGGAAGGGGTATTTCGCCTGGCGAGGCATGATTTCGAACAGGAGTATTCAAGGTTCGTTCAACTCAACCGTCCAACATAAATTTGAAAAGCTGTTTTCCACGTGCGCACACGGGAGCGACACTATTATTACGCCTTTCACCAAGAAGGGCGACAAATTTCTCTGTAGAAGCTACTTAGCTGCCTTAGAAGTTCCACTTAAGTCTTCAAAGCCGTTTCAAGTCACATCTAATTCACTCACTGCGCGCAGTTACAAGAAGTCAGTGTTCCTCTTGGTTTATCAGCATTCTTCCGTTCGTAAAACCCTCTGGTACTGTGTTGTCGGTTTCACGACTGTTGACTCTGCACTTGACTACATGCATTGAGTTTTCCTGTGATCAATCCTGCCTCTCAGAACGCTCCCATTGAGCTCAGTCCTTTGTCACGGAACCAGGACCTACGTTTAGGCGGATGAAAAGGAGATGCATTTTTTAGTGTTCCTTACGGCTTCTACCAGGACTGTTTTCTCTCACGAACTGGTGAACCCGGGTTCATCAACACGTTCTGACAAGCAATCCCAATGTTACAAAAGTCCCCATCTATGTTACAGATTTCAGTTACGTTGATGTAGTTGTTGATTTGGTTGGGCCCTTTGTATAACACACCGAAACGGTGACTATCAGATGTATTTGTCCTGTCACGGTAGGAGGTGAAACTCATGGCTATTCAGTAGATTCTACAGCTTTAGGTCGAGCCTTTTGCCAAACGGACGAGGTGGAGATGAACTGGAGCACAGGAACAACCGGACCAGCGCGGTCTTTATCCAAATTCGTCCAAACGCTCCGAGCCGATGAGATCAGTTAGACCAAACGTCAAGCGTATGATTTATCTATAAAATCAATTCCTCCATACAAATGTGGAACATAGCCCTTGAGTTCAGAATACGTGGCCACTGAATGCAGTAAATCAGTGGTGCCTGCGCTCCATTTACAGAACTTCCGTTTTTGATCACGTCTTCAACGAACGTTCATATGATCGCTTAGGAATGAAACCCGTCAGCAGTCTTTCTAGTCGATTGAAATGGCTCAGCCACCCTTTGCCTCCACCTGAAGACGAAAGTTACAGAGTTGGTCTGTTTAAAACTTCGATAAGCCTAGTTAATGTGAACCTGTACAGTCTTCCACCTGCGTTAGCAGTGCGCGAATTACCCCAAATTCGCCTATGTTCCCGTCTCCGGTCAACCAAAACAAGAACCTATCGTACATGAGTCCATTCTCCTGACGCACGCCATTGGCTGAATCAGTCACACTAAACCAACAATTTGGGAAATTTTTGACGCAATTATAGATTTCCCTGAGCTAATCGGAAACCAGCTGACTGTGCTGTGGCTCAGCTTCGTCCATGGGCTTAGAGCTTACAGGATAGACTTTGTACACATAACTGCACCCAGAAGACGGGAAGCGCTGCTTTATAGTACTTCACTGGCGTTTTGTCTTCCACATAGACACATTATACACACGTCCCACTCTTTTTAACCTTTTTAGAGGGTAACGGTTTGGCCCTTCGTACATTCCTCAACCCTCTTCATACTACGGGACATTGTTGCGTTGGGTTCGCCACTTGAAACATGCCGCGATCTTACGAAGAAGAGCTCAAATTCATCGAAAGAATTTCTCCCGTCTGCTGGAAAATCAAAAAGGGTTTTGTTCCAAACATGAAGGCAAAGTCTTTTCTGTTGTTTGCTCCCGCTTCTATTGCTGTGTAACTGCGTAGACCTGACACCACTTATTGAAAACAAACGTTTGTCTACCAGTTATTTGAATATAGGGACGTTGCAGGGACTGAAAACATCAGGTGTTATTTTCCTAACGCTGACGAATTACGGTTTTCGATCAAGAGAAGTGTCACGCTTCTTCACTGTCGGGTTTACACATGTTCACTTTCTCATCAGCTATTGCTCACCCTTATCCATGCATCTATCGTAAAACGATTTTTTGGCCGGTGTTGTTAGATCCAATCGGGCCTACTTGGGGAGGAGACTTAACAACGTGTTGCAGCGCCTCTAAACCGCAAATATGTTCTATCAGCCAGTACGCCAAGACCATTTTAACTATGGAGGGAGGAAGAACGTTGTATGGCATTCTTACCCTAATAGTTTGTCATTTTCGTTTCATATGGTTGTAGCGGGCATCTTGGGAATTGAGCGAGAGGATGAAACCTATGCCACTGAAGCCCCACTCGCTATCAAACTCCTATATTAATGGCGTCCGCTGATCTGTCCTGATTTCAGGAGGGGTATGGGCACTTCCGGTCTGCCTTCGAACTCAGGGCCTAACTCTAACATAGCAATTAGCCGTAAAGAAAAGTCACAGACAAAGACGTTGAAAGACTGAAATGACAACTGCTGACTTACTTGTCACCGCCAGACCATAGTACTCCACGCCCCCTAGTACTGGCTTGCGGCAAGTTGTAGTTTAAGTCATTTGGTCGTCGGGCATTTTCAAGTCAAACGGTCTCCAGTCTAAACTACGGCAACACTTCCTGTCAGCTGGGATCGGAGGTATTCAAAGTCACATTGGGGTAACATTCACCGATGTATCCTAACTGCAGGACGCGAATGGATATTTTCCTTAGGCCTTTTAGCTCCGGGTCTAGAGCCGGCGCGGGCAGTTAATCACGGCTCTCCGGGCTATCAGGTTTTGCAACCCCGACAGCGGTAGCTGAGAACGGACACCTTTGCCTGTTTCTATAGTTATCCATGTTTCTCCCGCAGTCATTTTCCCATTTTGTCCCATTTCTACACGTACGCTGAACTTATTTTGATCAATCATCTTATAGGTCGAAGGGGTCTTCTACGTCAACGATTTCCTGGAAAAGCTCATGTTCGAGGAGCTACGTAATTTTGCGAAAAGCGGCGATTATGGTGGCTTCCTGCCGGGTATGAAGCAAATTGCCAACGTTGCTGCCCTACCTGGTATCGTGCACGTAAGCTCTATCACTTATTTAACACAATGTTGGTGATGCTCCGAAGGGCTGCACCAAAATAATTTGCCACTTGGGCGCAGTGAGTGTATTTATGCGAAAACCGTGTAGAGTAAAAAGTTGATTCAGCACAGATAGATCCAGCGAGCGGTCGTTATATAATTGCGTGGATATAAGTATCGCTTGTGGTCCTAAACACTTCTGATTCCCTGAAATGAACCCATGGAGATCTGATTGGTTTCTCAGGGCAATCCAGCTTGGCCCTCTGTTTGGAAGGGTGGTCGTTCGGTAGGTCGTAAAGTGATTAAGTAAATACTTTCAGACACTCCGGAACAATGAGGAAGACTAAGATAACGGTTCTGTCTGTGGTTGCCGGTCGCATTCTCGCTTCTCCAAATAAAACCTGCAAACCTCAATACTATAGGCTTACCGCGCTCGTGATGGCAGGTGGTGGCGACCCAAAAAGCCACTGTCTCAATCTCTCATGTCCTCGTCGGTCCTCCTCTGATGGGTCAGTTTTGTTTGATCACACGTCGTACTCATGCAGTGCGAAGTAGGTTTCCAGTGACTGGCCCTTAGTTTATGATCCTGAGGTCGGGAGACTAACTCTCCTATTTGGAGGCAGAAGTCAGGTATCTAAGGAAATTGAATCGTACTCCCCATCTACGGTCTTTGACCTTATTTCACTAAATCACCTGCGCTCTGATTGCCGGTGCCTATTTTTCAATCCTGTCTGAGCCCGAAAGTTTTGACATTAATGCCCTCGGCGCGCACGATACACCTCCGACACCTTTATTTTCTCTTATTTGTTTATTTTTTGCTGTTGACAGAGGTCGGTCGGTCTACCGGATGTTCATTCTGGCTACGGTTTTGCCATAGGTGAGGGATTCTTGCAAGTCTAGTCGCTAACCACCCACCCTTTTCTCATTACCTCTTGTTTGATTTACAGTTTTCCGTTAACCAGTTTGCTTGGCTAATTTAGTTAGCTGCTTCCATGGAGCTAAAGTCATCTTGAGAAAAATGTCCTTTTTCATGCGGCTCGGTGGTGGAACTTGTAGATGCAAGACTGCCCACTTCGAGAAATTTAGACAATTTGTCACTTTCCACTGCGAGTTTTACGACCAAATTAGTTTCGACTGACGAGGAAGATAATGAGTGAGAAATTTGATTTTGCGATAATTTGCTTTTATCATGAAGACATTCGTTGACAAAGACAGGGAGACCGAAATGACTATTTCTGGCCTGTTTGAATCTGTGACAGTTGCGTCGGCGCATAGTTGCTAAATCATGCCCTTTTGACTGTCATCAGTGGTAGCTCGTCAACCCTTCACATACAAACCCCGTCCGATCGCACGTCTTGTTAAGTGGTGCTGGAGGTACAGTTACCCTTCAATGACACGCCTGAACTGGCCATTCTCGTTACTTGCGCTGTCTTTGGGAGCTTACTATTGGCGGTTAGTTCTAATGGGGAACGCAAAAGGTGTATTCAACGAGCTTGAACAAATATGGCAAGGTTGCATTCTCAGTGAAGTCGTAGTGGTCGTTATTAACGGCCTACGTCCCCTCTTTACACACCGTACAGTGCGGTTCATGGAAATCCTGACCAAAGTTATTAAGTTTTGCATTTTTTGGCCATTTCTCTTTCTTTTACCCCAGGCAATATGGCCGCCTTTGATATGGAGGATCCAATGGCCGTTGTCTCTCCGGGTGGAGTCGGCTTCGATATTAACTGTGGAGTCCGCCTTCTGCGTACCAATCTCACTCTAAAGGACGTTCTACCCGTCAAAGAGCAATTGACGCAGGCCTTGTTCGACCACATACCCGTGGGCGTTGGTTCGAAGGGTGTTATACCCATGAGTTCTCAGGCTCTGGACGAAGCTCTGGAGATGGGAATGGACTGGTCCTTGAGACAAGGTAGGAACATGACTGCTGTCTGGGCCACCGAAAAAGACGATGTTGGTTTGTCCGACCTAAAAAGGGTCAAGCATTCTGACACAAAGTAATTGTTTTGGTGAATTCTGATCCAGACCGGATGAAAAATAAGCACGCGAGTAACAGAATAGATGTCTGATTGGTCACTGCGGTTGATCTGGTCTCCAGCCTACTTAATATATTGTCTTGCCACTGGAACACGGCGAGCGCTCCCGCGCTCCAATCCAACTGCGAGTAGGCACATCTTGTAATATTGATAGTGCTCGTTAACTTTCATGGCCGAACTTTTCGAGAATTCAGAAGACAGGAGCAAGTGAAAAATAACTGATTGAAGTTCCACCTGGGGAATCGGACTGGTCGAGCAGCGAAGCTGCCACTTGTGAGGTTGGTGCTGTCACCTCTGACGATAGACTGTTGTAGGAGTTTGAAATCACAGAGAAATAATAAAAGGATTCCGTGTCCTATCAGTCTTCCCCCTCACCCGGAAATAACTCAGTTTCGATTTTTTTGGAGGCAAGCCTCCGTTGCTCCGTTTTTCTCCTGCACCCTGGTGGCAGTGTTTTTTAAAGTTTCAATGGGGTCGTGCTTTGTGCTGGTTAAAGTGCTGCTGCCTTTCCCTTCCGCCTTGGAGTTGGCAACGTTTACAAATAGGAATTTTAACATATTCCTCCTCCCTCTTTTTGCCGTAGATTATCGTCAATGTCAGTTCGGTTTTCCAACTCAACCAACACTCGGGCCTTCCACCGTTTAAAGTCTACGATTGCTGTTTGAATGAAATTAATCATGAGTGTCCTGTACGGAGGAAGTAGAATATCCACATCATTTCGGAAATGCCAAAATATGTAGCTTTACATTTCTGTTGGTCTCCAATACGGCCACTAGCACTGCGCGCTCTTGTTTGAGACGTCGAGGGTGACCTATTTTTGAGTTTTCAGCAGTGCGGACGCAAACTGATTGCAATCTACTGTGCACATGTGTATGACGTGGTTCATCGACTTTCCATATACTGAAATAGAACCGCATGATGTTTCTCTTTTAAATACGAGAGAGTTAGGCCAACACTGGGAATCCATGTCCATGACAAAACAGCGCACTCCTCACTGTAGTAAATTTGATGCGCCTGAATCAATTACGACGCGCTAGGAGGCGTGGTTTGGGGGCTTTGCAACTGATAGTCCCCATCTGGAGTGATTGGAGAACTGAGAGACAGACTGTAATGGCTTCTTACCAATGTGTCTTTATGCCACTCTCCCGCATGTGAGATCCGAGCCACCCAACTGAAAGAGGCACACTCGTGTGGCATGCGTAGACGGCCTGTTTCGTTTCGTTGCGCCTACATTCGCTCCTGATCATTTTGACGGTTTTTCGTCCTCGGAGCCTAGAGGCTGAGGGGAGAGAGAATGCCGTAGGTGCTGCACAGGTCAACGCGCAAGTCACCGTTGCTGCTCCCACTCCCACTGCTTGCGACGATCAAATCATTACTTTACCTGATTATTGATTTTTGGATTGTTCCATTTTACCCATGGGCTGTGGAAAGGTCAAAGTCTCACTCACTCGAATAGTGAGGTTGCCGTAGACCATTAATAAAGTCAGCACTACCGACCTCTTGCATTACACGTCTTGCATTCTTTTAGGATATGTTTGGACCGACGACAAAGAGCACTGTGAGGAGTACGGTAGGATGCTGCAGGCAGACCCCTCCAAGGTATCTGTCAGAGCGAAAAAACGCGGCCTACCGCAACTGGGCACGCTTGGAGCCGGCAACCACTATGCCGAAATTCAGGTTGTCGAGGAGATTTTTGATCGCCATGCAGCTTCTAAAATGGGTATCGATCAGCTGAACCAGGTCGTTTTGATGATTCACTGTGGCAGTCGTGGAATGGGACACCAGGTGGGATTTCAAATGTTTCCATCTTTTTGAGCTTTGTTCATCGTAACCAGTTGTTTGTTTTCCGACCAATAGTAGTCCTCTCGGTGTTCTTCTTTAGAGTTGGCCCTTTCCAACTGACTGGCGCCCCAGGAACCGACTTCTACTCAGTACTAGGACATTTGAGCGTTAACGTTCGGCACCAGACCACCAAGACGATTATTAAAGACTTGCTTTCTTATTTTTCTGACATGACCTTTTACATGCGAAAATGAGTGCCCTCTGACAGGGCTCTCGTTCACCAAGAAAGACTGTCTCGAACATTTTATCGACTTATCTGTGTTTGTTTTAGGGTGACTTAGTGCTTAACCAAGCAAATCAACCGGGTCACCTTTCCAGTAGTAGAATGGCAGCATGGTTGACGGACTTTCATCGGATTACGCGCACTAAAGGTACAGCCTTTGGGCCTAATCTGTCTAGATAAGTACCTTTGTTGACTTGCCCAATAAATATAATGCCACTCGTTCGGTTGCGGTACTGTCAGTGGCGAAAATTAATTGATGGGTGTTTTGGCTAATTTGTCTGTCGCCAGATGTCATTGGACAGATTCTTAGTCAAACTGTCATACGTAACAATTATTTATTATCACAGGGAAGTGTTTGTCGAGTGCTTTCGCAGTACAAACTTCTATGCCAAAGCCGGATGAGGGGGATGTACTTCAACTTGTTTTTTTTGTTCCCACTACTATCTTTTTACCTTATTCGGAATTCGTATAACGCTCAGATCATCATACGCATTGATTTACTGTTGGGGAGCTTACTTCGAATGCAGACCTAGTCTCTCTCTATCTCTATCCCTCCCCCTCTCTCTCTCTGTTACACAAGATTTGTCCCAGGTAGAACAGGCGGACGTGGACGCCGTTAGCATTGAAATTCTAGTTCGAACTTATTGCCGCATTCTTGGTTGTCTTGGGGAATGTCTGCTTTGTTGTCAACTCTTACCGTTGCTTCTACGTGAGGTTATCTTTGTGTCAAGCCCGTCAAAGCTTTTCATTGCAATAAAAAAACACCAATCATATCTGACATGTGAGCTTGTCTGGTTGACTGTTTGTTCTACAATACAGTCGCTTGTTCTTCTCCTAATATGTGAAGTCACGTGCATTTGCACACCACCTACCTATCCTGATCGCAAGACGACTCCGTTTGCTCTAAAGGTCCCGGTCACTCATCCTCGCAGGCAATCACTTAACAACAAGTAATTAATAATTGAAAAGCGAGCGGAGATTGCCCCATATTTCATCCTGCAATCAGAACAGATCGCTGAACGCTACCCGATTGCAGCCCACTTCTCGCCCGCTTGTTCAGTACTAGCGAACTTTGGCAAATGCTCAGTGACCAAAAATGCTCGGATCCCAGGCTCCGGCACGGAGATGTTTGACGACAGACTGACAACGGTTAATCGACCAGAAGTAATCACCCCAGTCTCCCTCTGTCAGCAATGCTTCTCGACCGTAAATCGACTTGCCGCTTCTAACATTAAATCGAATTTTTTGCATTCTTTTGTACTTTATGGTCCAGGTATCTTTCTGTGAACAATGATTCCGTCCTTCTGTTTTAAATAAGATTCTCAGTTTCTGCAAACCCCCCACTGACTGGACGTAAGATGGCGGAGTACTTTTGCGTCGGTTATTTCAATCCTGGTAACTGTTGGTGTGGGTCCGGAGTACGGCTGACTGATGGCGGCGAAATGACCATCCTAATTGCCTACCCCCAACCCTGTCAATGATGGTTCTCTATTAATGACTTTTCACCCTTGTAGGACCGCCTACGGCGGTTCTAGAGCGGTGCACCCAAGCAGAGCTAAGCGGCCGTATTCCGTTCTGCAGTCAGGATAAGTCATTGAGCCGTTGCCATGCGGTGCTTTATTTCTTCCGCTGTATAGTTCCGGGAGGGGGGGGGATAAGGGATATTTGTTACCCTCTTCAGCGTTAAGTTGCACCCCTCTCATGTTGCAGGTGGCGACTGACGCGCTGGTAGAAATGGAACGCGCAATGAAGCGGGATAAAATAGAAGTCAATGATCGTCAACTGGCCTGCGCCCGAATAAACTCCGTTGAGGGTCAAAACTACTTCTCAGCCATGGCTGCAGCGGCCAACTACGCATGGGTTAATCGCTCCTCCATGACATTTCTTACTCGTCAGGTAGGTCTTACTCATCGTTTTTACTAAAACAACTGCTCCTGGACCCTTCAAACAAAGGCACTATGACCCGCGTATATTTTCTTCCCAAGATCACATTACTTTTCGGCACCCATTGTTCGCCCTTTGGGTTCCACCTTCTTAGAGCCTGCTTTGGAGAATGGGTAGGGCACACTGCAAGTACCCCCTGCATTACAGGTTGTCTTTCACTAAATTCCAGGGTGTTAGGTTTAAAGTTAGGACAGGGACTAGGTACTCTCCCTGAAATTTAGCACAAGGCCACCCATAGTAGGAGAAGATATTTATGCCCTTATCCGACTGGAAAGTGTTTCAGGGAAACCTAGACGTTGTGTCTCCCGAGGCTGTATACGTTATCTGTAATTTCGTGGCCTTCATCCAAGGGTTTTAACACAACGCTCATAGGGTAGGCATCGGCTACGTCCTGAGTCAGCTGCCCTTTCGTTTTCCCGCTTTCTGAAGATGCTGTAGATCAAGCCTTTCTGCGACTTTAATGGGGGTGCGCAGTACTTCGGCACATTGTTAGCTTGTTTTGCGGCTATACCACATAAAGCGAGATATGAACATTGAAATTGCCCTGGAAACTTTCCTCTCTAGCATAGCCTTCTCTCAGTTTTTTGCGACCTGACCCTTTGCCTATTGTCTTCCTCCATACTCGAGGTATCATTTTCAGTTTGGTAATGGTCGTTGCCGAAATTGGCGGCTTTTTGTGTCTCTCAACTTGGCTTCTTAATTCCCTCACGTTTTTTGCTTTTAGGCATTTGCCAAGATATTTAATTCCACTCCTGACGACTTAGATATGCATATCATTTATGATGTATCTCACAACATTGCCAAAGTCGAGGAGCATTGGGTGGATGGACGGCCTCGAACATTGCTTGTCCACCGGAAGGGTTCGACCCGCGCCTTTCCGCCCCACCACCCACTCATCCCCGTTGACTATCAGGCAGGTTCCTGTTGGCTTCTCACTCGCAGTAACGCCGATCTTGCTTTTCTTACTGCTCCGGTCATGTTTACCAATATGTCCACAATGTTTGCCCTCTTTCCATTAGCTGACTGGCCAGCCCGTTTTAATTGGCGGGACGATGGGCACCTGTAGCTACGTTCTGACAGGGACGGAAAGGGCGATGACAGAAACCTTCGGTTCAACATGTCATGGCGCTGTGAGTTCTCTCCATGGTCTTCCAATTCCCAGTCTTATAACCCCTCTCACTGTATTGTATCTGAAAATATTCACTGCGTACAGGGCATTCAGTTGTTTCTTTGTTCTCTTGCTCTTCTGTCGGTATGACACGGCAATAGGAACTCCTCCTCCCTCCGTAACGCGGCTGGCCTTATGTTGAATTCCAGGGAAAATTAGGACTGGCGTTAAGGCATGGGAATAGGTACGCCCTCTGAATTTAATCCCAAGGCCGCCGGCCTTGGGGGGGGGGGGGCGCTTCCATTCCTGTGTCCTACCTCTGCGTCTCACATTCATGACAGCCTGACTTTTGGTTTGGTTCTGCACAACAGCTTTATAGCGCGACATGTCCTCCTATCCAGATGCACACATCTTGTGGAACTCGTCAAATCACTTGATTATACAGGGCATTATCAAATGCATGCGGTCTTCTCTCTCTCTCTCTCTCTTCTCAGAGTGCTATATCTTAGATTCTCCTCGTAATCGCATTGTCTCGTTTGGTTTCTCGAGCTCATACTTTCTGTTTTTATTTTAATTCAGGGAAGAGCGCTCTCCAGAGCTAAGTCAAGAAGAACGCTCGACTACACAGAGGTGTTGGACCAACTTGCTGCCAAGGGCATATCAATCCGTGTTGCTTCCCCGAAACTGGTCATGGAAGAAGCTCCAGAATCCTACAAGAACGTTACCGATGTAGTAAACACATGTGGGTTCCTGTACTTCTTTATGTTTTTCCACCAGTGTCTCTTGTACTTTTTTATTGCGGTAATTTTACAACCGGAACAGTGGTAATCTTGTGGTCTTTGATTATGTGTTTCAGGTCATGCCGCGGGCATAAGTAAGAAAGTCATAAAGCTCCGTCCAATAGGCGTCATCAAGGGCTAGAAATCAACACCTCCGGGACTTGCCAGACTTATTTTGCCTTTTCCACTTCTGATGTGCCATATCTTCCATAGCTGCTTGAAATACACACACTTGTTGAATAAAAACGAAGTTTTGTCTGGTCGATTGTTGCACATTTTGTCTACCGGTGCAGCCTGAAGCAAAGTGCATGTATGTTCCACATTTATACCACACTCCTGCGTTTCTTTATCCCCACAATGAGCTGGTTATCCATTATTACTTGCTGACGGCCTTTCCCTCCTCTCCTACTCTCACTTTGTTGGTTTTCTGCAAACGACTTGGTCCTCTCCAGCCTCCCCCCCTCGTATGAGGTGTTTTGCTTTCGAAATCACTCATAAATTGCACTGGTACTCTATGTTAGCTTGGCTGGTGCGATTTTGGAGGGATGCCCACCGATCGCGCTACAGAACTCGCTCGTCCCGTTCTGCCTTACGGGCACGTAATATAGGCAGAATGATATTACCGACAAAGGCAAGGGGGAGACTGAAATGGCCATTTCTGGCTTGTTAGCCGTCATCAGTCAGCCATACCCAATCCCGAAATGTGGAACACCTGGGGCTCGATCCTTGACCTGTTGGCTAGAAGTCCAACGGCCCCCAACCACTGAGCCACAGGCTCGTTGTCCTGTCGCTTGTGATCAGGTATATGCAACAGTGCAGGAGTGTTGGCTAGCTAACGACGACCAATAATCCAGAAATAGTCGTTCCAGCCCCCCCTTGTCATTTTCTGTAATGCTATTCTGGTACGATGTTGTTTTTTGGAATTTGAAGGGTTCTGCGCAGGGTACAGAATGCCGTACTGCACCCAGGTTAAATTTCATTGGCCGAATCTCGCTTAATGGGAATAACTAGTGCAGCCCTACTACAAGTAACTCTTCTACGCATTTCATGTACTGCCAGCTCGAATCACGCACAAATCTTGGAGCATGGGGGCGTTAAGCATAATTGAAAAATACTATCGGTCGCCACCCTCGCCAGTGACACTGAAGTCATCTGATCTGCACAGTGGTGATACTAAGGGCCGGTTCGGTGTGAATGACAGGACTCATGTCCAGGGAAACAACATAACTTCACACGGTCTACGATGAACAATAGTACAGCCAAAGATGAAGCCTCTGTCTTTTACAATCGTAGCTAACTGCAACAGATGTTGAGGAAACGCAAAATAACCGACTGTGCCTATCAACGCAGATGATATCGAAACATGGCTAGAGAACCAGTTTCTGGAACTTTTACTAAGGCGCATAGCGCGCATGCGCCGTTTCGGCCATGTGTGCGCACATATTATCAGCCCTACAGTAGGTGGGCTAACTCATGAAATGTCTACAGAAATTACAAAATGCGTTTCCGTTTCGAAAAGAATAATTAAATAGGGTTGTAAAATCGATCATCATGCAGCATAATCCTATAATAATTCAGTTACCCCAGGACGCCGGCTTTCGAACAAACTTCTTTCCGGTTGCATCCAAAAACCATACTCCGTAAAAAGTGTCTACTTATGTAAAATGCATTTTTTCATTGATTTCGATGCTCTTAAAGATTCCATTATATTTCATGGAAAACCTGCATAAAAATATTCATTCTTTTGCTCATTCGGTAGAAAATTACGTCTTCTTTGAAATTTATACTCGAAGGGAGGGTATAAGTCGGTTTTAAAAAAGTTTCTAGTTGTGAGATTTTTTAATACCGTGAAATGGCCCTTCATAAAACGTCATGTCTCTGCATTTACCGACATGGCTTGTAAAGTTAACAATTTGGCTCAAATCCACTGCTTAATTTTATAAATCCTATATGGTCTCCTCTTAATATGGTGCATAAATGTATGGTTTTCCGTACGCGAAATTATACGGCTTGTAGTTTGGGAACCCTGAATGCAAGTGTAACGGCAGATCGGGTTCAAAATTATTCGGGAATTGGAAAAGTTTTATAAAACCAAAATTTTCCTTTTCTCTGAGTGTAAAATTGAAAGAAGACGTAATTTTCTACTGAATGAGCGAAAGAAGGAATGTTTTGTGTAGGTTTTCCATGAAATATAATCGGACTTTTAGGGGCATCGAAAATCAATGAGAAAAATGCATGCTACTTAAGTAGCCATTTTTTACAGAGCAGAGTTTTTGCATGCAGCCGGAAGGAATTTCATCCGAAAGCCGGCGTCCTGAGGTAACTGGATTATTATAGGACTATGCTGCAGGGTGATTGATTTTACAACCCTACTTAATTATTCTTTTCGAAACGGAAACGCATTTCAGAATTTCTGTTGAGATTTCATGAGTTAGCCCACCTACTGTACTGTGAAGTTTGCCAATTTCGGCAATGACGGATGAGCTGCCAGGCTCAGGCTGGCGGACCCGAGCCGGCCAAATGGTGCGTGGTAGGAAGAGTGAAAAAGGGCCAAACTGAGGTACATCTTATGACAAGCTAGCGCATTTCTTACCAAATATGACGCTCTGAAAGTTGTGGCTTGAAAAGTCGCTACTTGACAACAACCCGGTCCTCCCCAAGCGCGGCCGTCAGGCTCCCCATAGTGAATTTTTTGTACTCACTCACATGCGGCCCGCCTTGAATGAAGTCTGCTGTGTGCGAGAGCAGGGGCGAAGTAGCGTGTGGCTCGCGTAGAAGAGCTGTTTACTTTTGTTAACTGACTGGCTGACGACGGCTAATAAGCCAGAAATGACCATTCCAGTCTCCCTTGTCTTTGTCGGTAATGCTATTCTGCCGATATCATGCGCCGCTGTGCGGCTGTTGGTTGGGCTCGAGAGAGAGCGTGTAAGGCACAACGACACGAGTGAGTTCCGTAAGAACGATCGGTGAGCGCTCCCCTACCATTGTATATTCCCGATCGAAACCGACAGGGCAACGGGCTCGTGGCCCAGTGATTAGAGGCGTGGACTTCTAACTAACAGGTCGCGGTGGACGTGGAGGGAGGGGGAGGGCTAGGTAGATGTTTCGCAAGTCTGCCTCGTTATAAACAAACTCATACAAGTCGCGGTTGCGCAGTGTAGATCTCGTCGCTTGCGGCGCTGAATTGTCACATACGCTGGAATAATTTAGCCGAGCGCCTCATTAAGCATCTGGCTTCGGTTGCTTTTTTCGTCTTCCTCTGCATTATGTGAAAGTAACTCTTCCTGAACGTACTAGAGGATAAACGGGCCACATTCCTGCCTCCAATCTGCGAGGCTTCAAAGAAACGTCATCTATTGTAACCATCCACGTAACAGCGACCCTCCGTAGAAGACGCTTTTACGCTCCCTCAGCAGCCTGTTTGGTGGGCAAAGGTAACAAAGTCACATTTTGTTCTTCGCAGTTCTGCGTCCAGTCTACCAGTGAATCCAAATAGATCAACTCCAAAATAATTCTCTCGAGGTGGACGCATAAGAGGGATGCCTATGTGGTTCCCATTTGCTTTCGCGCCGAGGTCCCGGTTGTTTGTTCCCCTGTGTGTGTGTGATTTGTCTGTTGTTTATCAATAAGGAAAGTCATTTGCACTCCTGGATTGGCTAATCGTCCGATGAGCACTCTACCAGTCGTTTAGGTCGTCCTGCGGTTTGCGCTCTGCTGTGAATCCATGCGACCAACACTGCGCTTTCTCTTAGTAGTTCAGAGTTCCCTTTCGTTTTCACATTTGTTAGTCTTTCCGTGTCACTGTGTTCGTTTTATCACCGTTTGCAGACCTCCTGATAGTGTCGCGCTCGGTCTGCCGCCTAGTTTGATCGTTGGCACATGTGTAGTTACGTTTCCTAGTGTATATAACTAAACTTTATGGTCATTTCCCAAACTTGTGAAGGTTAGGCCATGTCCTAAGATACGCAATAGTTGATTGGTGACTCTTCAACCAATTGTGGGCGTTTACTTCTTAAAAGTCAACAGTCCTTCCCATTCTTTTTTTCGGCTAAGACTTTTATATCACGACGTCCCAGTCACGCGTTCTGTTACGGACTAAATTAATACACTAGATCAGAGGCAATGCCTTTATCATCTGATCAGGCTCATGATTTGAACCCAGTCCCCTAGATTCTTTTGAAACCTATCGCCATGCCTCTAAATAAGACCCAAAATAAGTTTAGGGTCTTCCTCGTCTCAAACTACAGAAGGCAGTTTGTTTGGTCACCGCGAAGCTCTCTTAAGCCTTTTTCCTTAAAAGTTAGGCAGTTCATGACTCACTTCCGTCCTAAGCGGTCTTCCTATATCAGTGCATTTCGGCCGGTCCTACCATTTGCGAAGTATAACTTTCGAAATTGCATGTTCTAACGCCTCTGCCGCACTCAAGTTTACGATTTTCAAGCTTACTTTTTAGGGAGCTGATCCGTCTCTAACTGCGTAATTCCTGTTGTTGTAAAGCAGTCGGGATGGGGAGGGCGCCTGTGCCTCCACCAGCGTCAGATGCTTCTGATGACGACATCCTCGGCGAAACTTCTGAAGAAGTGGAGCAGGCTTTGCAATACCGCGATGACGTCATTACCGCTGGTGCTTTGAGCAGTCTGGATAAGCGGGCGCCTGCTACCCTTGATGGTGCCACTCTGCTCTTCAGCCGATATGCCCTGAAGGACACGCCACTGGTCAGGCTCTGGGACTGCGTCTTCTTGGAGTTAGTTTCTTCTCCTTGCGTGTCGATTCTTATTGAGCTCTCCTACCTTGAAGTCCCCTCTAGTGCAGTTATGCCAGTTGTGGTAAAGGCCTACGGTGAGCCCTCAAGTTCACCTAAGTTAAAAAGTGCGTCCTCCCACATTTCTGTAGGGCTCCATCTAGCGTGCACCAGAAAGCAATCCTGCCCATGGCTTGCGAATTCCAGTTTTTCTAAAAGCCAAATTGCACTTAAATTGAATCACCGCCGCATTTTCGGAATATAGCCTTGCCATTTTGTTCAGCCATGGTGCCTTGTTTTGCACAAGGTAGATCTGGTTGTGATCTGCAACCTGTCGTGTTTGCATAGTTATCTCATACGCAGCGGGCCACGGTCTTCACTTGCCTCTCACCCTCTTGCCT